TCCTTAATCTTTTTCTTGGAACTCCTCTAATTGGGTTTTAATTGGTAATACAACATTTCTGTGAAACCATCGTTGTAAATTAGTATCTTTATAGATTGCTGCGTTCGAAGTTTTAATTTCCGTCTGGATTTGATCAGCCTTTTGAATTTGAAATTCTCCCCCGAAGACAGCGTTTATCTTAACGGCCTGGTCCGTCTTCAGCGCGTTGTTGACACGTCGTCGAAATAGTGCGAAACAGTCTTGGAGGAAAATCTGCACGTCCCTATCTTGAAGGTTAGTTATGGCGCCAGTCCTGATGCGCGATTCAAATGTTGAATTAACATCATCCCAGTGAACGCGATCTCTCGCAGTTACGGGTCTACTTCCGGAACCTCTCTTCAGCATTCCTTTGAATTGACTCCGAAACGATTTAACTTGGACCATTTGAGCTACCAGACGTTGTTTTTCTCCCACCGTTTTCGTAGTCCGCATTTCCTTTTGGATTCTTCTTATCGCTTGAGTACATTCTTTCATACCCTGAGCGACACCATCATTTTTAGGAGAAGCCAGTAAAAGAGCCAACAAAGCTCTAATGGCTCCAATAGGCGCTTCGACCACAGACATTTTTTTTCACTGTGCCGCACACGTACTACAACTCTAAAGCTAGAGCACAACAGAAAATCCCAATTTGAGTGTCCTGTAAGGTAAACTTTGGAAGGACGTAGCACTGAACGCTATTGTGTGGTCCGGGCCTTCGATAGAAGATTTTTGTGAACTGTTGAGTAGTAACACGGATTCTTTAAAATAAATCGGTCCAACGACACGTGCATAAAATTTATTTACGTCAAATCGTTTATTTAAAGTATCACAAAATTTAACTTTGGCAAACTAAACAAAAGTAAAAGTTTCGTTGACATCAAACGTTAATATAGCAGCATCCTATAAAGATACCACAATAATTTTTATAGATCATTATTGCTAAACTCAAAAAATGGTAAATCAATCTTGTTTTTTTACATCAGAACCCTTAATACCCAAAATAAGTCAAAACTTAAGATCAAAAGGTCAAATTAAAATTTGTAGAATATAATTGAACGTTCATAATTCCAACGAAATATTGTATTCTAAATTTAGTGACTGGGTCAGAATGGTGATGCTTTATTTAATGTGAAATCGCATATCGGATGATTCTACGCATAGCAAAGTCCTCGATATTTTGAAAATATTTAATAGTCTCAGTTTTCATACTTGTGCTATTTTTTATTTAATCGTTGTGAAAATATGAAACCATAATGAAACTGTAGGTACTTACCACTTGCTATAATAACACCAGACTTACAGTAGAAAAAACGGAGATTGAAATTACTTGCGACTTGATACACACGTCCAATAACAACAGTGGCAACACGAAGACTCTGATAACGCATCTATGCCTGTCCGCGCGGAAAATTTCTTCATGGTCGGGACGCACGTGCACGCCTTAACACATCGCGTTGGCCGTAACGAGATTGAGGTGCGCCTTGCATTCTGGATGATATCGACATGGCGACAATGAGAATTGGATCCAATAACAGCAATAGAAAAAACAAACATGAATATGATATTACAAGATAAGAAGGAAAATGTTTACAGTTTTTGAAATATTTCGGTTATTCATTTCCAAAATCAGTCGGTTTCTTAGTTAGCAAATTAAGAGCGGAATGAATGTGGGCTTGTATGGAATGGGCAGCTACTTAGTCGAAAAAATTCTTACCCAAGCTGCATTGCCGACAGAAACCATAGTGACCGCCGTCTGACGTACGAGTAAACACGCCTGTCTTTCTTCCGAAAAATAAACTGGATTTCATTTGAATATAAGCAGTTAAAAATATAATTTGCATCAATTCGTCAAGACTACTGAACCAACAAAAATACGAAAAAATATATCGAAAGCTGATTCGCGTGGCAGTTTATATTCAAGTTTTGTTGACGGGACTTTTCGTTGACCATATCTTGTAGATTGCAAGAGCCACGCACCCAACTGTAAATTAGCAAATAACTTACAAGCAATTCCTGTTCATACAAAAGAAAACAGTCATATATTTAGTAATTAATATGTCAACCCGTTCAAGAAATATAATGGGCATACTAATAGATGTTTCTCAATATGGAGTCATTGATAGGCATAATATAAAATATAAACGAATGAGTTCAATGGATCCAGTAACTCCGCTCGATGGTCTCGGCATTTTTATTTTATGAAAATGTTGATATGTATATATAATGTAACCAAAAGAGATCTATATTTACTAATTAAGAGTTCCACCGCACATAACCTCAAACTTGGATCGGATCAAAAAAAGAAAGTATATTAAGGTTCAAGTTTATTCCATTATCCGCTCGTCCCTGTCACCTCGGCACCGCGCCCGGCAACGCGCCATCTCTTGGGGGGAGAGGGGTCGCACACACATTACCGCCGCGTTAGATACCCCCCAGATGGCGCGTTGCGGGGACGCGAAGTCGAGGTGACAGGGAGGAAGCGATGATGTTACCCAGCCGTCGAGTTTCGAAGTGCAAAACACGGCGTGATTTTGTTATTCGACCGCATGTTCCAATGCTTTGTTTGAACGAACCCAAGGAAACGGGTTACTCATCGAGTTGGTAATTTAATTTTTAACGCCGCTGCCGCACACCGACGACGCAGCGATCTCACCCGCTGTCACATTTGCGGTGGGCGATGATGTCACCCAGCCAGTTCAACGCGCCTCGTCGACTGAGTCATCGCGTGTCCCAACGCTTTGTTTAAAACGAGACGAAGGCGTGACTCATCGCGCTGTCGTATGACGGAAATATAATAATAAAAGCTCTAGCCAAATGTGATGGGTCGATCAACTTGCTACCTGTAAACAAGGAAAAGTATATTTCCTTTACGTGGCACCTAAATGACAACCTGGTGAAATCCGATTCATCGAAAGTTTTCGATTTATGTTGAGTGGCCTGGATAAGCTAACGGCTAATTTAACGGAATATCCAATACTGGAGCTCGAATTTAGTAAATTGTCGGAGGAGCAAGCCAATATATTGAAACAAAAAGGCGTTTTCCCCTACGATTATATGAATGGATAGAATACGTTGAAAGAAACTGTTTTGCCTCCTATTTCGGCATTTTATAACATATTGGATGACAAACCGTTGACCAAAAAAGATTACAAACGAAAACTAAAATTTTTTTAGGAGCGTCATGATACCCATGAAAATTATAAATTCAGAATATTAACTAATGATGGAGGGGGCTGGAGGCAGATTTTATGGTATTGGCGAATAGACTTAGAAATAACCTTGAAATATCATTTTAAATGGAAAAATCGGCTTAAAAATCATTGATCAATTTTTAATGTTTTATTTATTTTTATTTATTATTTACTTATAATTTTGAAAAATTGAAATTTATGCGTTAAATACTTTGGTCTTTTCTCTGTCCAATAAGAGAAAAAAGATTCCCACAAGTTACACCGTTTACCATCGGGAGCGGTTTATACGTAAGACTGCAAATTTTTAACAAATAATTAATAATACTTAAATGGAGGGGGCTGGGAGAATTTTAATGTATCTGTGAATAGACCCCATTGAACTCCATCTTCGATAAAAAATTTGAACTTTTTCGGAGCATCGTAAGTGTTTTAAAAAATAAAAAATATACATTTGGTAGGAAAATTATGACTAACATCAAATCAATAAATCGAAAATATTAACTAAAATTTGGGGGGTTGAGAGAGATTTTATAGTATTTGCGAATGGACCCTATTAATCGCCATCTTGAAAAAAAAATGCAACCCTCTCGAAGCAATGTTAGTATTTTAATATTTTAAATATGAGTAAATATGAAACTCCAAAATTAATACAAATAAGGAACTATCATCATGAAAAATCGTTACATTTCAACTGGGATGGTTTGAATGGTTTGAATAAATAAAAATTGTTATCTAATGTAATGAAATTTAATTATTTTTACATTGTAGAAACAATACAATGAATGTTTAAATCACCATCCAAAGTATTAGAAATTATGATAGACCCAACTACAGTCAAATATGTCTATAAATTTCAAGGTTCTAAAATATCGTTGATGATCGCATTAAAGAACGTATTACGGCCATTTATTTCATAAAGAAACATACATTTTACAAATAAAAGGTATTTAATATAACAATCTTAATTTTTATGTGATATTAATTTCCATAATCTCCAATTGACAATTCGTATGAGGTATTGTGCCGGGAGCACTTTCAGGTCTTCGCTGTTCGTCGGATGGCTCAACAGTATTTTATCCATCGTGGTCACCCCCTAGTCGTCAGTTTCATTAACAAATTTTTAATCTGTTGAAACACGCTCTCGCGTGGACAATTGATGCCGAATAGACTGAAATCCACGGGTCCTGCGTTGATCAATTTATTTAAAAATTCGTTATACTCGTAATAGGTTTTGTTTTTGAAAAAATATAAATGTCCGTTGGTGTAGCGAAACACGCTGTTCACGCCCTGCGGAATCGGGCCAAACAATTCGTTTACAAAGCTGTGACCTTTCGGACGCAAACTGCACTCGTCCAATTCGTTGAAATAATTATCATCGTAAAGGATGATAATTATTAAATAAATTATCAAATTAATTAAATTAATTAATTTGATATATGTGGGAAATTTTGTCCATGGGAACGTACTCGGCTATTCGTTTTGGTTCGGTGTAGGTTCTATCACCTAGGCGTAATATCCAGCACCATTTATCGTAAAACTCGTACATATGATGGTTTAAAGTGATTAGAAAATTATCCGGAAGTATATTACACAAGTCTGGTGGTGGTGGTGACAAAGTAACTTTTGTTGTTGTTTTTGTGTCGCTTTTCGATGTAGTTATCGTTGATGGCAACACTGATGTGGTCGTTTTGTCTCCATACACACGGTGAATTCCCGCAATGTCATCGAGTCCCAATGTATTTACGCTCCCATAAAATGGATACATAATGGACGTGGGATCATTACTATGCCCTAAGCCGAGGGTATGTCCGATTTCGTGTAATAGCACGGTATACAAACTCGTTTGTAGTGCGGGTGGATTTCCACACACTTTTGATTTGTATTGGGAAAAAATGCGTGACCCAAAACTTGACCTTTTCCGTCAAATTTATAACTACATGATCCGTTGCCTTGACATCTTACGCTTTGTTTATGTTCGTACGATTTATCGGTGATTAGAATCAGAATATCGGGCTTCATGTAATTGTAAGCGAATTCTGAATTGGAAAAGGAACTCCAAATTTTGAAAACTTGGTTGGCAATCGTCTGTAATCGAAACCTTTGCCAGGGTGCCGAGGCTTGAATATACCAATTTAAGGTCGTTTTATTCCATACCGCATTGGCGGTTGTGAAAGCATTTTCTTCTATTCCGCAGCGGGGGCTTTTTATTAGCGCTATGGTCTCATTGTTTAGAGTACCGTCCATTGGTAGATTGTACAATTCCAGAAAATCCATTAACGCTTGCTCTAAACTGACCGGATCGATCTGAGTGAGAGACACGTCGTCGTCGCCGTCGCCCCCGCTATTCACCGACAGAAAGCCATATTTTTGTAAATAATCAGAGAGTTCCTGGTCGGTTAGCGTCGTGTCGTCTTCAGCTGTCGAGCACATAGCTAGGATAAAATAGAGAAGAAGAAGAAGTGAACAAAAACCCACAATCCTCATCTCTCTCTCAATCAAAAGTAACTGCAGTACTAAATATTCACCGATCATAACTAGCGTTTTTATAGACGGACGGGAGAGATGATTTTTTTTTATTCATATTTACGTGTATGTTTTTTTGAATAATACATGTTGCGCGGATCAAAATAAAACGACAAAGTTTTTTTTTTTTTAAATTATTTAATTTTTTTTTATACAATAATGGGTATACTGGCGTATACCCATGAATAGAATTCGAAAATATTATTTATGGCGCACATCCGTTGCCGTCCACCCTTGGGGAACATGCAGTTAGGCCTCTCCTTCTTCTCAAACTTTTGGAAGGGGAGGTACATTTGCGGCGGGCTGGGGGCTGGTGCTGGTGGCGACGTGGCTGTCTCGCCGTCCGCCGTCATCAAACTGTTCCACGTTAATGATGGTGGGCTTCCACGCCGACGACGACTCCAGCCTCTTGGCCAGAAAGTCCGCCTTTACCTGTCCCCTCACGTAAATGACGTCTACCTGTGCGCTAATATGATTTATCACGTCATCCACCCTCGCATAGTCGACAAATCCCCCGCTGTACATCAATCCATGGAGGCGATCCTCCAACCACTGCACCCCCCGCTTGTCGGCGGAGGACAGCTGCCCATATTCCTTTGGCGGCTTAAAAATGAAATGGCAGCTTTGACTGCCATTACATGTCGCCAACTCCTTGACGACGAAGCACTCGCCGCCGTCTTGCAGCTGGAATCCCTGCATGTCGGCCACCACGAACCGCATGTTTACCACAAAATGTTTTAACTGCACAAACTTTGTACCACGAACTGCGCCGCTCGATCAAATTAGCCTCGTATTTATTATTACGACAACGTTCGGACAATTTCGCTAAGCGGTCGGGGCTCCACGATGCAATCGTGAATGATGACGCAATAGGCGCGCGTATTTGCAGGAAATCCGTTTTTAGCCTCGATATCTAACTTAACGTGGACCGTGCTGGATTTCAGACTGTCGTTTCTTCTAGAACAATCGAAATTTTAATTTCCTAATATTTCTTTTTGAATGTAAAATTTTCCATTTATTTCTCTCAATGAAAATTTAAAAATTATTATATATTTCTAGGTGGACAATAAATCACTACCGACAACTTAGTTATGAAAAATATCATTCATCAATTATGAAAAAAAGAAATGAAATAAAAGAAAACTATAAAGAATAAAATATCGTTTATTTAAAAAAAATAATTCAAGTGAATATCACATGTGATATTAAAAATATTCATTACTACATAAATTACTTCCCTTCCTAAAGTATTATAATTAAGGAAAAAGTAAAAGAAACAATAATAATGCGGATAAGTACAGATTATTTTTAAATATATTTTTCGATATATTTTTGCATAATGATCTTTAAACATCTTAACGAAATTACCAAAAAACTACTAATATTTCATCGCATGTACTTGCCTAATAATATCATACATAATATCACATAATTGCCTAATTCGTGAAATTAGCAATATGACATATTTTAATTCTAACGTGAAATTTGTGACGTCATTGACAGTTGCGACGTTATCCAATACGGTTCTGCAGTGCTCATCCGAATTTAAATCTATGGTAAATACAACCACATTTGAACATGAAGAAGAGACGTAGAAGACACCGAGATGATTCTGTGGCGGAGTATTGCACGCGGCGGTTTAACCTCCGTTTTTTTTTTTAAGTGTAAAAGTTCCGCCGGCCCCGTTGTTTTAACCGTTCACGCCGGTATGGAGGCCGGATGGGCCCGAATGGTCCGCGGAGGAAGCGGGGAAAGCCGATTTTTTTTTTTTGGTATCGGTCAAAATCGTTTTCTTGCTAGCTGAGCAAATATTGGTTATTTTTCTTCTTTGTACGTGTTGGTCACGGTGTAACGAAGAGGATCAAAGGAGGTAAAAAATCCTTCATCAAAACTAAGATAACTTTTGAAGATTTCGTCGAAGAGCGAGCAAACTGGAATGGTACACAGTATCCCAAAAGAAGATCGGGTTAAGTCCTTACGATGATAAACGTCGCATATCAAAGTCGTCAGTAGAAACTTTACCGTGGGGTCACTATTCGATTGTGGAAGAAGAAACTGTCTCCGCTTGATTATAAATGTGTTTTATCGGTTTTGCTTTGAAATTTCGTTTTTTTTTTCCTAAAAATCGAATGAGGTGCGCTTAAGGGCTCAGTTCACCTCTGGCAGCCTCGTTAAATTTTTATTTTAAAAATGCATGAAATATTTTGATCTTTTTCAGTATATTTTGGGCATATTTAGAATAAAAATGACAGGAAAAACTTAATATTTTTCGCTTATTACCAGTAGATGGATAAAGGGACTTCCAGGAACCCCATAACCTCACTTTTCGGCCTCTCGGCCACGGGCCTTCCGCCCCCGGGCCACTCGGCCACGGGTCTTCTTCTTTTGGTCCGTTGGCCACCCGCCCATGGACCACTCGCCCTAACTAAACCGTCGTCCGTGGTACCGACCTAACCAAATTGTCGTCCGCGGTTCCAACCTAACCAAACCGTTGTCCGTGGCGCCAACCGTGGTCCGTGGTGCCAACCGTTGTCAGTGGTGCCAACCGTTGTCCGTGGTGCGTAGTTCGCCCGCGGGGGCCCCCTGGGGTAGAGTGCCCGCCCCAAATCAATTATCGCCATTAAATTATTATATATTCTGGTGTGATCATCGTTTTCTTCGAGTTCTAATTCAAAGTGTATTTCGGAATAGCAACTTTCACACCAACTCCTCTGACTCTGGTATACCATATATATTAATGCAGAGGCTTCGACTGTAGGTATGTGCCGATAATCGCAAAAATCAAATTTGTCAAATTTGATTTTTGATTTTTTTTTCAAAAGTTATAAAAGCGTCTTTGCAAGATTCACAAACCATCAACAGAAATGTTCTGGTCATCACTATATAGTGTTTTTCCCATAAATAATAGCTATAATGCTCAAAAGGATGGTCTGTATACCTTGGCCATACTAAAATGGCATTTCGATGTGCCAACGATACTTTCTTTTGACGGGTTATCAAACTCAAATCTGGTGGAGGTGGTCATTCACATTTGACAGCGAGTGCATTAATATATTTCCACCTATATTCGGGATATTTTTCCATTATTCGTAGCGTTAGCGTCCTCGGTAAGGTCGTTTCAAGCAGAAAATGTGCCAGCAATCAACAAAATCTTCAAAAGTTATTTTATTTTTAACAATCTGGTAGTTTACACCCTTTGATTTTTTTACAGTTTTTCCGTTTAACATTTTATAAGTGTACATTTTCAATCTTAGTCCGGCATAGTATGAAATTATTGAACCGTTGGCCTCTTCCTTCATTAGACCCAGTACTTTCTTATTGACGCGAGGCATATTGTATGGATTATCAATGGGATAGTCGGACGTGTCGAATTTGCTTAAATTGGACTTAATAACCTCTTCGTATACATCATCACAATGGATGTTGTAAATGAAACTGTCCGTGTCTATATATTGAATTTTACACCTAACTTGGGTAGCATGTAATCGTAATGAAACGAATACATGATAATTTTAGATAGATCCAGAATTGACATTCCAATGTAAAGGGGTTTGTTAAAAATAAGTTCCGATTTTTTCAGTTCCACCAACATTAGATTATCATCTAGTACAGTTCTATTGTGAAATCGGGGACTAGCAATTAAATTTTTAGCACCGTAACGACCCTCCCACTTTCTAACAAATTTTACGACCCGATGCTTACGTATGTTTTCCATAGTTTTTCCGAACACCGCGTTGTTAAATAATTTAAAAAGATTTTTACCAAAAGTGGTAGTGGCTTGCGTCCGTAAGTGATTATTTAGATCGATATATTATTTTAGCCAAGAAAATTGCCTAAATTTTAATACTCTGTGTATTTTAGTAAGAACGAGTCCGTGTTTTAAAGCTTGCTTTAAATTTCGATAGTGTATAACGTAATTGGTTTTATTAAAAAGGATTGTCTTCAATTTTGGTAATTTTGAATTGGGAGGCACGCGATGCTCGGCACAAAATGGGAAATCTTTATGTAGATCGTGTAAACTCTGAGGGTATTGCAAATCTACCTCCAAAATATAGCCTTCCCCGCCCGTGTCTGGAACATTATTAATGCCAAGGGAGTCAACCATGTGAATCCGCCGTAGGGAAGAGGCTCCGACATAGCCTTGCCGTAAAGATTGTTAACGTCAAAAAATGTGAGATAATTTGATTGCTTTGATGGATCGTAATTGGAGATGTACTTGTTGTTTGCCTCAACGTACCTGCCAACGCACATCGAAATCCCACCCCGTATACCCTGTTCGATAAACATAATCTGATCAATGTCACGCATCAGTTCTAAACGACATTTTGTGAATCTAAGCATACAGTCCCACGTATATCCGGGCATACTAAAATACCATGCCGGGTCCAAAATATGCGTCACCATACAATTTTTTCGAAAATTTTCAAATATGTCGGCCAAAAGAATAACGTCCGTTTTCAAATATAAATCCGAATATTCGCCCAAGTTTTTAATTTCAAACGCGGACCAGACTTTTTGCGCATGAGCATACTTTTCTTCACTAATGTCGGACTCATATAATTTATTGTAAAAAGCGTCGATAAGCGGTAAACTCGTTTCTTTTAATTTGTCGTAGTCGTCTATGTAATCATAACAAAATACACCCTTTTGTGACAATAAATTTAGTTTTGATTCGTCTTGAAGGTGAGAAAATTCCTTTTTTAATATGTAAAGTTCATTTTTGTCGACGCTGTTTACCAAATTGTCTAGCGACGCCCCCAAAAATCTAAACGAATCTATAAATCGAAACTTTAGCTTATATACGGGCTCGTAATAGGTAAAAGATATGTATTTTTCCTTGTTGACCGGAACCAAACTTAAAGACCCTTTATTGCCCAAGGCCCTAAGGATAAAATGGGCGTCGTACC